AGGAATTTTACATATGTACGCGCAAACGACAAGCCTAGAAGGCAGGCCTTGCTCACTTTTACAGTCGAGTCAGTTTGTGAAAACATTTCTCCGCGAGTTTGGGCCCAGCAAACTTTCCGGCCCCACGCCCCCCCGCTGAGAGGCGAAGAAGCCCCGAGCTGGCCAGCAGATCGGTCGCAGGGAAGTGGCCGTCGGCTGGCCGAATCTCCACGGATCCCAATGGCTTCCTTTGTTGTTGGGCGCATTTCGAGGCCACAGGCGCGATGTGGCTTGCAAAGCGAGCGGTGGCCGATGCTGTGCAGGCATCGAGTCCATCGAACACGACGGGACCGCGCTCTGGGGGCACCCCACAGCGTTGGCTCCAGGCAAGCGGGGAGATCCCCTAACTCTCCCCGATCGCCATCGTCGTCCCAGCGCCCGCAAGGAGCAAACCATCCATCGCCGCCCGCCGCTGCACATCCGGAAATCTGGTAGGCGTTGATACAATATTGACAGGCCATTGCATCAACGCCGCTCTACAGACACGAGCTCTGAAGGTTTGCATTGACCCAAGGGCTTATCAATGTTGCATCAAAGCCTGCCAAATTTCTGGATGCATCTCCGGGATGATAAACGGATCGTTGATGCAGCATGGCTGGGACACTGCTTGTTTGGGAATGTTGCATCAAGATGCCTTGTTGAAGGGTTGATAAACGCCGACGCCAAGAGCCACTGCTTCAAGGGCCTTTCGCTAACATTGAGGGCCATTGTTTCAATGGCCTCCTTGCATCAACCCTCATCAACATTGCATCAACGCCTGCCGAATTTCCAGATGCAGGGGACAAGGCTCGCAGGGGTTTCTGGCGGATCAAGCCCAACGGTGGGGCCTCCCAAGTCTCCCCAATCGTCAACCCCGGCCTCCAGCAACGCGCCATCGGCCCTTTCCTAGCGACAGTGTGCTTCTCCGTGAGCAAGTCGGGCCCAACAACCTCCTGGGGAGTGGCCCTGGTGGGCTGGGCCAAGGTGCGGGGCCGGGGATGAGCGCAGCAGTGCCCACCACGCTCCCCATCCGCCATTGCCCCCTGTTAGATCGTTCACACTTCCCTGGGCGGAAGCGGCCACCGAAATGGGTCAGCGTTGTGCCATCTGCCCTTTTCCTGCCACCGTGCACTTCTCTGTGAGTGGGTCGATTTTTGCGGTGTCGTTGCACTTCGCACAGCGGGCACGTAGGTGTGTGAAGCGCTGCTGGCTTGGAAAGTTCCCGCCATGGAAATATTCGCGCGGGGAAAATTTTTGCGGGGGAAAAATTCGCAGGAGAAAAATTTTTGCAAACCGACGAGTGCGCAAAAACATTTCTCCACGAACTATTTTTTCGCAAAATGCGCGAGATTTTTCTCCTCAAAGAACTTTTGGTATGCAGTAGTTTTTTTGTTTGTCTACGCCGCAGGAACGTTTTTTTGGAAAAACAAGATTTAGCGATTCAGGTCGCCATGCAAAGGATCGTTGTATTATGATTCGGATGGTTTATTGCTATTACTGACGAACGTATTGTGCATTATTCGTATGTTTTGTCATTAAAAACGGACGCACGCCCCAGCAACATTTGCTGCGGTGACAGCAACCCGGCCCGCCCCACCCGCCGCTCCCAACCGCTGGGGCGGCCGCAGCACGAGCGTCGCGGCGGGAAGCGTCGACGGCGGTACATAAAGGCGAGGTGGCGCGCTCAAGGGCGAAAAAGGAAAGCGGACCATCTCATTCTGCCACCGGGCGCCAGAGGCTTTGCGTCCCGGGCTTCCGGACTGAGCGGCCGGATCGCCACTCGAAGCATCAGGTGAGATTCGTTGCACTCCCAGAAGTCGGCAGGTCGTGCAAAGTGCGCCCCCTCTTGGGCGACTGCATGCGACCCATCCGGTGAGATGTGGGCACGGGGGAAGAGAGTGGAGGAATTGGTGGGTGGGTGGGGAGGGGATGATGTACCTCTTTCTGCATCCCTCTGGCTCGCTCTGGCTGCGGTGGCCGGGCGAGAGACTGGGTGCATCATTTGGCGGGGGGCCGTCGGCGGAGCAGGCGGCGCCGGAGTAAGATATGTAACAAAGAGGATAGAAACAGGCCATACAAAGTGTACACTCCCAAGCAAGTGTCTGCCAGAATCTTTTCTTTGGGTGGGGGGGTGGGCGGTGGGATGTGGGCATAGGGTGCACGCCAATGGGGTAGGATTAGGCCAGAAACTGCTTAGAGAAGCTGGCGACTCGCACGGGCGGGCTGGGCGGCCCGTTGGCTCATCGGATCGCTCGGCCCGGCTCAGGGCGGGGCGGGGGAGGAGACAGGGCGCTGCCGGTCGGAACGGTTGAGGGCATTAGAAATGGGGCGCCACGATGTTGAGCAATGGCATGGCAAACGTGGAGCGCGGTCGGCTTCTGATTGATCAATCCTGTGGATCAGCTCTCGCGAAGGTGTGGTCTCGTGGCGGAGGGGGGAAAGGGGGTTGGGGGGCGGTGCATAACGAGGGGGGCAGGGAGGTGCGCTTCGCAACGCGGGGATGGCATCGCCGTGGCTGGAGGATCGAGGTTTGAAACGCCGCGCGTGGGCAGATCAAAGGGGGCGTGCGCGGTGGGCTTGGGGGCGGGCACGCTGCCGCGGTGCCGGAAAGGCGCGCACAGGTCGCGACCAAGAGGCATACAATTACTGGCTGCACCAAATAGGTGACTTTCTGCACTAAATCGGTGACTGCTTGCACCAACTGCCCCCAAAACTTACCTAACCTAAAACTTAAACCCTAAGCCTGAACCTGCCCTAACCCTAACCCTAAAACTCACCCTGAAACTAAACCTAACCCTAAAACTGAGGTTATGACACAGTGTGCACGTGACTTGGTGCAAGCAGTCACCAATTTGGTGCAGGCAGTAATATTATTTCCGACCTAGAGTCCACAAGCGGCCACAGCCATTTAATCGCCCAAATCTTTCTGCTGAAAATCGGAGTCTTTGTGGCAGTTGATGCACCCCTTCCAACTCCCCCCCCCCCCCAAAAAAAAAGCATCAAAGGTCATCGAAATTGTGTCGCACAATATTCGTGAGTACTACGGCGCCCGTTGCTGAGTGCACAACACATTCGCAAACGAAGCGGCAGACGTGGTTTCATAGTCACTGTGGTATCGCATGACGTGGGAAGTGTACAGTGAAGCATCACCAGAAAAATGCGCTGCCACAAACAAACCAGGTAATGAAAGAGACGCTCAAGTCAATTTCGTTGCACTGCATGCAATCTAATGCAAATCTAACGCAAATTTCAGTGCAAAAGACGATAGTGCCTGATGGAGCTGCTGCCAAATCAAGTTAACATTCCAGTCTATTCAAAAGTTGTCAGCTTGCAGATTGAATGCTTCTGTTTCAGAACAGAACCCACCAATAGCGGCGGCTTTGTGGAGATGGCACCTTCCTGGCATCCAACACGTCGCATGGCCTGCTGGTCCCTTGCTGCCATGTTCCTATTTGCCGCCCTGGATCACGCCCGCGCCCTCAGCAAATGCGGCGATGGGAAGGTGCGCCGGGCCGCCAAAAGTGCAACAGTAATGTGCTTTGTACCGTGTTTGTACTGGGTTGTACAGTGTTGTGCTGTGTTGTACTGTGTTGTACTGTATTATACTGCGTTGTACTGTATTGCGCTGTATCGTGTTTTGTTGTACTGTGTCGAATGTGAATTTTCTAAGCTTTGTGCAACTTTTGCGAAGTAGTTTGCAACAGAGCAAAAGAACATTTGGAACAGTGACGCTGGGCAATTTCTGCCCTTCACCACCTGCGCTGTGCAGCGTCTGTGTTCATACAGTGTCACAAGATGCAATGGCCACCTAGCGATAATGAATCTGGTGCGTTTTATTGTGGGTTCTACGTGTAATCACGAGCGTAATTAATTCTGCTACATGCAAGTAATAATGGAATACATTCATTCACATTACTACAATTTTCGCTTAATGCACATGCAGTCTTGATAGTGCAAGGCCTGCGTCGTTGAGAAAGCGAGAAGCCCGTCCCTTCAAAGCCAAGGGACCGTGCTTTCACAGCATCTGAATTGATGCGTATTTCGCCCAGCCAAATTGCGCAGACGGACTTCCTGGTTGACCAAAAATCAATGCTGTACACAATTTCAGGTAATATTAGTACACGCAAGTGCTGAAATCTGTACCGTATTTTCCCCGCAACAACGATGTTCCATCGGTTTATGCACTGCGTAAATGCATGGTTTCAGAGAGCCTAAATTTCGCAGAAGCCGCTCAGGTATGTACCACCAATTGATGATATATGTTAGCACATTTGACATGAATCTGCCATTGAATATTGATATCGTTCCCGTGGATGCGGCGCCACTGGGGAAAATCGTGTACCGCGTCATGTGTGCAAAAATGGTGTGAAAATCGTGTACCAATCGGGTACTAATCACAAAGTACACAGATGCCGCGGGTACACGGTTGACATCGTGTAAAACCGTGGGCCACGTTCGTCTACTACACAGGGCTGAAAACTGCACGATTTTTGCAATCGTATAAAATCGTGCTCCGAGGTGCCCGGCTTTTACATGATTTTAACGCGATTTCATACGATCATACACCGTGTAAAATGGTAGAGTTTTTACCAGTGTGTAGACTATCCGTCTTGTTGCATTGACTCAAAGCCACAGCCGAAAGCACCATCATTGTTGTTGAACAAGAGATATGAATTTCTTGTAATAAAAATATCATTCCATCAGATCACAGTATTAGATAATGAACCTATTGTGTAGTTTTATTGTATGAAGTTAAGACAGCAATCCCGGTGTTGCCATTCACTGCAGCTAAAAACAACAAATGTAGTTCCTGTATCTATTTTGGAAACGAATGATTTTATAAATGGATTGTTGAGATAAATATATGGATAAAAAGGTAATCTATAGGCAATTAAATGAATAAATTAATGGATATATGGCAAATCGACAAATGAATACAACACAAAAAGTAAGTAAGCCTGGCATGTCGCTTGTTCACAAAGGTGTGCTGCGATGAATGCGATCGGGAGTGCGCGGCGGCAACGTCGCCCTGCTTCTCTCTGTGCCAAAGCGATTGCGCCACACGAGACGGGTCCCCCGGCATACCGACGTCCATCCAGCCATTCAGTCCAGCCCCACGGATACCGCCTCCTGCGGAATGCACCACAGGTGACCTCTCCCCCCTTCCCTCAATTAGTTATCTCCGTTTTCGGTGCAGACAAGGCATCATAGGCATGTGACAAATGAATGGGGATTGGGGAGCCTTCCACATTCAGAATGTGACACATTTTCATACAGATGTACTGGCAAAAATATTCGTCAGAAGAATCTTCCAATCAGCTGCGCCAGCTGTTGAATAACTAAATGTCATAAATATAGCAAAACTCCGCATGAACTGCATGTATCACTCGTGCTACGGTGCTCTACGCTTTTCCGCACATCATACGAACATTAAACAACCATTTCACTTTACCGTGGTGTATTCAACCCTTCCCCATAGTAATCTAACGCCTTTTTTGCGGAGAAAGCAATAAAGTAACTAACGCTCTTCTGTCAAAAATTTTCCTGATTAACGTCAAAAATTGAAAATAACAATCTGAAAATTTTTTGATGCGGAAAAGCTGAATATATATTCGTAGAATATATTCTACGGCTTTCCACTTTATGTAACGCAATATCCAAACAGTGCAAAGCACAATGCACTATTCCACTGTGCTTAATGCATTTGTCAAATGTCGTTCAAGCACAACACGTTGCTCGACGCAAATGTGCGGGCAAGTGAAGTCGCAATGCCGATGTCATACGGGCAGACGAACACAGGTGTCCATTTTCAATGTTCGCGCTCGCCACAGGCGATCACACGGATGTTCTGTGGAGGTTTTCTTGAGCGCGTGCATATATTCCATTCGTAACACTCCAATAACTCATGAGTATGTTTTAATTCAGAAGTAATTCATAATGGTAGTTGATAAGCATATTTTAACTCAGAAGCAATTCACAACGCACTTGGTGGAAAGCAGGAGGCATCTGCTGCACCAACTGCGCCACGACGTGCCCGGGCTACACCATCTCCTGCTTCTCAAACTGCACCAGCCCCTGCGTGGCCGCCGACGAGTGCATCGCCGTGGGGGGCGCTGTGGCGCAGGGAGTGGCCGCGGCGGCGTGCGAGGCGACCAAGGCCGGGTGCGGCATGCCGACGGTGCAGCTGCTCGTAGAAGAGGCGGACCGGGTCACCGTGGAGACCTGCTGCAGGTAGGGCACATAAACAAATCCAGCGCAAACTAACCCCAAAAAAACTAAACATAAACTGAATTTTGGAAAAGTGGACAGAGTAGGCGGGGAATAAAGTACGGGTAGAATTTAAAGAAAAGGAGCGTACTCTTGCAAATTCGGTGGCCGCGTTGTGCACAAAAATCATGTGAGTGCGCTGTCGCCATCGTGGCAAGACTTCGACCTCGCAGCTGAGCAACGGCGCCAGGCGTATTGTAGTGCATTTAGCCTTTCTGTATTTTGAAAATTCAGCGTCACGATGGCCTTACGCAATTTCGATGGACCGTCATTTCATCGTGTTCTGCATCCCAGGCATGGCCAGAATGGCTACTCCGCCCAGCTTGCTTGCCATCAAGCGCAGGTTCCTTTCCCAGAGATTCGTGCATTTAGGGCCGCTAGGCGTCACGAGCAGTCCACAGACCTTAACGTCGGGGCTGGAGCAGCTATGCATGATTTAGCGCCGTCGCATTTTTACTACTGCTGCGCAAAAATAGCCAAACTTTGCGTTTCAACGCGGAAGGTTGAATACACTTCGGTAGGTATTTCGGTTTCCCTCTCCAGCGCTAGGACTGCACATATTAATGGCGGGAATTGGCTTGATTTGCCATTTTCTTGTGCTTTTCCCTGAAAGCGAATTGGCTTGCCCGTATCAGTTTTTTATCACCTATTTCGACGGAAAAGGACGCTTCTCGCAGGGCGCTGATCGGCAGCTGCCAGGGCACGGCGGAGGCGATCGAGTGCGAGGTGAAGGACGGAGATTTCGGCTCTTGTCTGGAGGAAGACTTCAAGGCCATATACACACAGGCCGTGGCCGACATGTGCGTGCAGGCGATTTGCGTGGACTCGCTGTGCAGAGATGAGTTGTTCGGTGACAGCAGCTGCACCCTTTAGCCGCAGGTCTCAAGGCAATCCCTTTATAGGTGGTCCGCCCTCCATAGTATGGGACAGGGTTTCGCGTAAAGAACGTAGTACGAAAACGGATTTCACAACGGTCTTTGGATGGTGATTTGATCTCGTCAATGGACCTTCACAATGGGTCCAAATATCTACTTGCTTGCCCTCTGGCTCGCTGCTTTCATAGATAGGGAACGGCGGCAGCTTTATGCCCAACAGGCGGTGGAACGATTGACGCGAAATGAAGTTTAATTATCGATGAACGAATGAGTTCCAGCCCATTTGAAAGACATTGTGTTTAGAGTGCTGTTCCTGGGGGCGCGAAGCCGCGAGAACGCCCTGTTGCCGGCCAGTAGCGATTGGCGATGCGGCAGTAACGCACCCCATTGCACCATGTTGGGTCTGGAATGTTGCCTGTCATGGAAAGGTGTGTGTATGGAATGAGCGGGTGGGCGGGTAGGTGGATGGGCGGGGGCCATATAAGCGGACGCAACGAGATGCCGCGCTTGCAGCACCTGCCGCAGCCCATCACTCAGGAATATGTTGTCAGGGGGTGAACGGTTTTGAGTCCTGGATTAGCAGAAACGCCCTTCCGCCACTGTCGGAGCAAAATGAATGCATTGTGGGCTCCTACTAAATTGCTGTCCTAGCATGCAACATGAATATAAACGTAAGAAATATGTATCAGAAAGCAGGAATATCATGATTGCAATCGTACTTATTATCAACTATAATACACTATACTATAATCAGCTATCGCTATCGCAATTATCATACAGCGGCAATAACGTTACCATCATAGGGGCGACATTGCGCCCGGCGGTAATCATGCTTTGATGTGACAGGGCAACTGAGTCTGTCTTCCGCTGTGGAACTCAGTTTGGTACACTGATGTGATTGTTCATCTGGAAGCCCGAGCTGCCGCATGGGCATTGCAGATGCGATGCACAGCACACAAGGGAAAAAGGGCCAAATAACACACGTTCAAACGTGTACAAAGTTTACAGGTTTGTGTTATTTTCGTGTTTTCGTGGTGCAGAACACTGATGAAATGCATGCATATGTGTTCGCAGATCGTGCTATTTGGTCCGTTTTTTCCTAACAGTATCAACTCAGGATTGCAGAATGAAAATAAGGAGGCGCCCCTCGACGTATGCATACACTGATTTACATCTGGCCTGTAGTGTAGCAACCCGGTTGGGGACTTTCACCCCAAGGAAAGCGAGGAGACATTCCCAAACGGTCTGACGGACAATCCATCCGCACAAAACACTACAGTGAATAGAGCTGATTGAGTAGCATTAAAAGCCGGACTCATGAACAGATGATGAGGCATTGGGATTTGCCTCAAGGACATTGATGAACGGACTGGATATAAGGGACGGAACTGGTTTTCCCTTGCTCGGCCGCAAACCGTTGCTGTGAATTCGAGTCTACGGTCCCCGTTCAGGGGTCGCCACCTCTCGACTCTGCCTACCTTCCTAAACACGACGACCCGAAATATTTCATTGCAGCCATGCATATCTCAATTCAAGCGACCCCCTACCTATTATTTTGTCCACCACTGGACAGATGTGTTGACAAACGTTACAAATGGCGCATGGCAGCTGCGAACGCGGTGCTGCGCAAATGCCCATCCAGCATGTCCTTCTTGTGTGTGGGAACGTGGCACAGGGACTCCAGCGCTTTTGGATTCCGCACATCAACCATGCGGCAATGCATGACCATACCGGTCCGGAAGTCGGGCCTTCGGCCTGACGATCTGCACTTTTCCTTTGCCACCTCACTCATTCAAAGTTCCCTCATTCGCTGGCTAGTTTGCATTTATTTTTGCATGTATTTCATCCCATCACAGTTTGTCATACCCAATGTGTTTGCCCCTTGTGACGTTGCATAGTCCAACATTTCACCCCGACGTTCACTAGGAAAAAAAGGGCCAAATAACACTTTTGCGAACACACACAAAACACATTTCATCAATGTTATGCACGGTAAGAACACAAAAATAACACAAACCCGTAAACTTTGTACACGTTTGAACACGCGTTATTTGGACCTTTTTTTCCTAGTGGTTGGGCCCACTTTCCTTCCCACTTAATCCATTCAATGCCCGCTCACTCGGTGGCTAGGTTGCGTTGCTGATATTGTTGCACATTACATTCTTTGATTGCTGTGTCCTTTGCCGCTGTCGCAGCGCCCAGGCCGGCACAGCGCCGCCGCGAGAGTTGGCGCCTGCTGCGCAAAACCCGGGGGGCCCTTGAGAGGAACCCGCCTCAACCCGGACTTTGATTCGCAAGCCATCGCCGCAGCCGCATTGCCCCCAATCGACCCAAAAGTGCGTTCGACGCTCACGCACGTGATGGTCACACACCTCGCGCTGTGATCGCGGTAGCGGAGGTCCATGCCCCACCCCGTGCTCGCGCTCAAGCACGCCCCCCGACCCGGGTGGGAGCCACAACTTCGCTCTCCGCTTTCCAAACATTCACTCCAGGGGCCGGGGGCCTGGAGGGGCGCGCTGATTGCATCCGGTGTCGTGGTCGCCGCGCCGATGGTCGCCACAGCAGAGCGCTGCAAGGCTCTGGGGTCGCTCCGCGGGCCGACTGGAGCCCTCGCGGGAACGGCAGCGCCGAGTCGCGCGTCTGGGCGTCGGCTATTACCGTTGTGACGATCGGCGCCGGCGATGGCCTTCACTGCAGCCGCGACGATGCGGGGTCGTGGTGGAAACGCGGCTCCCGAGCGCAAACGGACATGGCGCGCCGCTGCCGCGGCACCGATAGCCGCGCGCCTGACGGCGGCGGCCTTGGAGTGCAGCCACCAGCCCAACCCAGGGACGCATGCCCACACCACCCGACCCGGAGAGCCCCAACGTCACAGGGGTCGATGAATCGAGTACGAGTCAGCGTTCTCATGTAAGAATATTCTTACATGAGAACGCTGACTCGGTGCTCTAACAAATTCATTTCCGGGGCGCTTCAAGTCGCGTTCCGAGCATATGATGTACGATCCTTTCTCTTTGACCACAGGCTGTACGCGCTACACACGGATAAAATGTGCTCATAAAATGGACGGATGATGTACGTCAAAATCCTCTTGCATGCGCACATGCCCATCACCACCTACGAGGCGCATGGGCAATGCTTTGTCTTTCGAACGCAGCATCAAGCAAAACATTCTCGCCGGCGACAGGTGCACGTCCGAAGCGCGGATATTTCAGTTTGGTGTTATCTTAGTTTCAGTGCAAAATCCACCGGGGAGCGACTCCAAGTCCCAATCCGAGCCCAAACCCGGGAGCCATCAGTTGAAGTCCGGACAAGCTTAACAAACACGGGAGCCACAGGGTGTGGAATGTTTGAAACTTCGAAATTATCTCCCCCCACTCTTCCCCCCCGCATCCGCGGTGCGGACCTCACGAACCATGATAGGACATCCCGGCGGCTGCCGCTGTACTCTTGGATTCACTAGAAGGCGAAAGTTTATGCCTAGCAAGAAAAAACGTGAGAAATCTCCGGAATCTGAATTTTGAACGAGCTAGACGAAATTTCAGTGAGACCATCTTTTGATCTTGAACATTGAAGTGAAAGCAGGCACCTCCCGGAAGGAGCGAGATGCGTGCGCAGCCTAGGCAAGCAGGCCTACTTGTAGATCGCCTCATGGATGCGTCAATCACCACTGAGATAAACCCGAAACTATGACGTTTTCAGTCAGATCCTATCCCAACGAGCACTCGGGAGAACCCGCCAGCTCGACTTTGCATGCAGGTGTGGAACAGATGGATGTTTTGCACTGCTCCTCCGCTTGCTTGGTGTACTCGTCCAGAAAGCCTTTGGCATCCTTGCAGGTACCGTAGTTGCCCCCCGTGTCGCATGGGTGCTTCTTGACAACGTCGCCGGCGCACGTCCCGATGACGACCAGGCAGCAGTCCTTCAGACTGATAGGAATCCCATCATCGGCTGTGCTTATATTGCCCGTGAAGAGGGTGGGGATGGCGCAGGCCGCCTATCATAGAGGGCACAACTCGTCGGTGTTAAACAACTTTGAAAGGAAACCAGAACGCTAATTTCTTCAATCGCAGAAGCAGTCGTGCTGCCACCTCTTCAACCAGCCAAATCTATGAATCATGGCCGTCTGAGAGCTCAGGTCGCCTAATCGATAAATGTCAATTGATCGATGATGGAATGGACGGAAGAATGATCAGAAACTCCCTGCGTGCGCCGCAGTTTGAAAGCATTGCTTGGGTGTCGTTTGCAAAATGACACGTTGCCCGAATCGAGGTGCTTTGGGCCGAAGTTCCCAGACATCCAGCCAAATTTTGAAAGCACAGCCTCAATGCGGACAGCGCCCAGCAAGGCTGAACGAAAAAAAGGCCTGAACCAAGAAAAGGCCCGAACGTGAATATTCTTATGTAGGCGCAATACGGGGGTTTCTACGAAAAGGGTATCTTGCAGACTAGCAAAAACAAGGATCAAATAACACTTTCGCCAGCACACATAAAATACATTTCATCAAAGTTCTGCACGCTAAGGACACGAAAATCACCCAAAACCCGTAAACTTTGTACACGTTTGAACACATGCTATTTGCCCTTTTGTCCAGTGCCTTGTAATGCGCAACCATGAAAGGGGTGCCGTGGACCGCAATAACAAGCCTGCATCCACCAACCTTTGCGGCGAAGCAGGCGCTCCCAGCCACCCTTGCAGCTTGAGCTTCTCCCCTTTTCAGACACTCAGCCCCGTCCTCGATCCCTTCCTTCTTGCAGAACTGCTCGCACGTGGCGGGGTATCCCGTGCACCTCGTCGCGCAGTCCTCGCACCGCACCTCGTTCGGCGTCGAGCACTCCGGGGGCGGCTCGGGGCACCCCAGGCCGCCGAAATCCACGCAGTTCGAGGCGCAGGACGTTGGGAAGCCCGGGCACTCCGCTTCGCAGTCGTCGCAGCAGACGTTGCCGCTGCCGCACTGCTCCGTCTGGGCGTCGCTGCAGTCCACGCCGGTGCACTGCTTGGTGCACTCTATCCTGTCGACTGGGTCCGGGCACTCGTCCGTGCAGCTGGAGCAGCACACGTCGGCGCTGTCGCAGCTCGCTCTGGTTTCCGTGGCTGCCAGCGCCAGCAGCAGGAGGATTGGCACGAGCCGGCTGAGGGCCGCCATTGCGTCGGGGCCGAGGAACTGCCGGAAGCGACGGGCTGCGTCACACAACGTCACACGGCGTCAGGCTGGCGCAAGGCTGTGGGTTTGCCAACGTGTCCGCACCTTGCCACTATCAGTCGGACCGATACAACGGTAGGGGGGATGAAGGATGAGTCATCCGCTCCCCGGGTTGCGTTAACGAACGGCGGGCTCTTGCGTTGCCGTTCCCTTCCGAGTGCCAGTGCTGCTCGGACGCGTCGCTGCCAGACGCTGGAGGCGGCTCGCTGAGCGAAAGATCGAGTAGAAATCAACGCCGGCTGGACAATATTGTCGATCCGTTACGCAGCACGGCCGTGAGGCGGCAGCTGGCATGGCGGCGCCGCCGACCGCCATCCGCGGATCGGGTAGAATGGCGAGCATGTTTCGAAGTGGCGGAGAAGGCTTCGTCCTGGCGAGGACAGTTCCGGACCGGCGGGGCTTCAGCCGCGCCGATGACAATCGCGCCCGACTCGGCAACCTTCCCGAGAGCCAGCAAGCTTGCGGTGTCGTCAAGGAAGCAGGGTTGCTGCAGTGCTCGTGCACCGCCAGCACACAGTGCAAGGCAAAGCCCCGCTCCGGCTCGGTGACCTTGCGTGTCGGGGCAGCGTCTTGCGCGGGCCGCGTTCCTACAGGGGAAGGACCGTCGGTGCAAAGGCGCGTCTGCATTTGCGACTGCGGCATTGGAACTCCGCCCATCCCGAGCCCGGCATCGAATTACCTTTTCGACGGGATCCGATCCGATTCGGCGGCCAAGTGACTACGCCGCTGATGACCGCACGCCACCCCGCATCCCACGCCTTCAACGCCCCGTCCGCGGCTAGACTGCTTTTCAAGCAGTCCCCTACCCCCAACCCCAACCCCCCACAGTCACACACTCGCCGGCCTCCGAGTTCAGCGCGGCACATTCGCTCCACGGTCCCCTCCCCGGTGCTCCCGGCTTTCCGCCAATCCCACCACCCCGCCTTCCCTTCCCCGTGCTGATGTCGCCCTCCCACCAGAGTCAGATGCAACCGCACCGAGGATACGCAAGGCCGATAATCCCTGAAGCAACGCTGACGACCATCGCCATGCAAGCGATTCGGACGTGTCCGATCGGGTCGCGCGAGCAATCGGCACGGGGGCTGCCTGCCGTCGGTGGCAAGCCCGAACGCCGCAACAGTTGCGGCGCCTCACCTTGTGGGAGGGGCTGGGCTCCCTTCGTGTGTGTTGGCAATGGCCGCTGAACCGCGCAGCTAACGAGTCCGCCACGTGCATTTATGCCCCGAGAAGCATGCCACGCGGATCCGAAACAGCTGCTGGTGTCAGTGTCAGGTGGGACGACAAACCGGCGCAAGGTACTTGGCGCGTACCGCTTCTTGGCAGCTGTGCGGCGGTTGTGAAGATCACACTGTGAACTGCCCTGTGCTGCCCTGCGCCTCCTTGATGCAAGTTCCTGCATTGTTGCCAACGCACCGCTTCTTGGCAGCTGTGCGGCGGTTGTGAAGTTCGCACTGTGAACTGCCCTGTGCTGCCCTGCGCCTCCTTGATGCAAGTTCCTGCATTGTTGCCAACGTACCGCTTCTTGGCGGCTGTGCGGTGGTTGTGAAGATCACACTGTGAGCTGCCCTGTGCTGCCCCTGCGCCTCCTTGATTCAAGTCCCTGCATTGTTGCTAACGTACCGCTTCCTGGCAGCTGTGCGGCGGTTGCGAAGCTCACACTGTGAACTGCCCTGTGCTGCCGTGCGCCTCCTTGATGCAAGTTCCTGCATTGTTGCTAATCATGTGCCCTTTGTGAAATGGTCGCGTCACGAGGGGATGAGGATGGGACAGAGTGGCAATGCAGCGTAGCACGTCGGCTTGTTAAAGCTCAACGCACGTTACTGCATTCTGACCTTGCTGCGTGGGTAAGGGTGCCTGCCTGTTAGGATGATTAGGTATCCATTGCCATTGTCCACTCTGTGCTGCAATACGCAACGTGTACTTAACCGCCATTAAATGCGCTCAGAGGACAAGTTGTGGATCGCGAATGGCACCGTCCACATCTGTGTCCCAAAGGATAAGAATTTCAGCGCCCGTGACGCCTCCAGAAAACACCCCGTCACTAAGAAAAAAACATCAAATAACGCTTTTTGCGAACGTATATATATGCATTTCATCAGTGTTCTGCATGCTAAAAACACGGAAATAACCCAAACCCGTGAATTTTATACACATTTGAACACGTGTTATTTGGCCCTTTTTTCCCAGTGCGTTCCATTAGTGCATGCGCTCGAGTGACAAATTGTGTCTCTCAGGGCGCCTGTCCTCGGAGGTGGCTACTGAAACATCGGAACGGGCCCCGCGTTTCACTCCCCCTGCGGTCTGCGTGAGCTGACGCATGGTGCTGTGTCGGAGAAACGTGGTGGCAGGTCCCGAACCAGCGCCCAATGTCGCTTCACACGCACAAGGCTGCGCTTTGTGGCGTTTTGAAGCGGACGTGGCAAAAGATAGCGTCCTTCTTAGGGACGATTTTTTGCGAGAAGTGCGTGGTTGCAGGACCCAAAATGGACCGGCGAAATTGCCATGCATCCATTCACGCGCACCTGGGGACAATGCCATTCATGCAATGTTCGTTTCTTGGGGCTTCAAAGGGGCACAAATCACATGTATGCCTTTTGACGTCGTAAATATGCCATTCATGTAACATTTAAGATATGACTTGCCAACAGAGCACAAGCGGCATCTAATGGGGAACGCAGCATTCTGCTCATCAGCAGAACCATTCGCATATGCTTCTGGCCAATGTTGCGAAAATGTGCCCGGCACACATCTTGTGTACATCTTGTGAACGGTGGGCAACTTGATCACCGTGAGCTGCTGCCATGCTCTACATATGAACATATCGCGGCATTGGATATCCAAGACGGGACCAGACCCTCGAATTTAACTACGCCAGATTGGCAGAGTTTGTCGTCGTACGGCGTGCCTCTTACAATTTAGGAAATGACGCTTGATCTTGATAGAGATACGGAATAACATGCACATTGTGGTGAAAATTAGAACACAGCGCATTTTGGGCATCTTCATTAAATTTTCTGAATTTCATTCAAATTTCCTGACGAATTGATGACTGCGACCTGCGATATGCCTTCAGAAGACCTGCATTGTGCGCGTCCACTAGGAAAAAAAGGGCCAAATAACACGTGCTCAAACGTGTACAAAGTTTACGGGTTTGTGTTGTTTTTGTGTTCTTAGCGTGCAGAACTTTGACGAAATGTGTTTTATGTGTGTTCACAACAGTGTCATTTGGCCCTTTTTTCCCTAGTGGTCAAGGCATCTGTGGGACTGATTTCTCTGCGAATGTTGCGAGGAACGAATGGCGATGCTGAATGTCGGCAACATGGCGGAGCACTTTCCGAATGTCACAGCTCAGCGTGCAGTAACCCGGGCGCGTTTGTTATGTTTGTGTATCGCGACATTGCCGCGGCGGGCGCAATCGAACACCGGTGAGGCCACATGGCCAACATAATTGGATGCAGCGATGCTCATCCAGATCCGGATATGGGGCTGTTGTGTGTCACGGGAATGTGCCAGACGCAGCGGCGGAGAAGATGGCGCGTTTGCCACGATCGTGCCATGAATGCAAACGGCACAGCAAAGCCGTGGAGGCAGCCGGCAACTTCAATACGCACTCAAGGGACTAGCGTTCATGCGATGTATCAAGTGAACGTTGTATAAATGAACGTTGGTTGAATGCCGCTGAGGATGTAGCGATGCGCGCTGCGCTTAAGGTCGAGCCTGTGGAAGATGTGGGGAATTTTCGCACTGATGCTCTTCAGTGGGTCTAGGATGAACGGCTTTCTGATGACATACACTGGTGAAAAGCAGGCAAGATGACAGTCCTGATAGGTTTGGCTCAAAATCCAACTTTGTCCTTTCGGCAAATGTAGTACCAAAGCCACACAGCTAGTACACACATTGAAACATTTTCCACCGTATACCCTCAGAAACCGTGTAGTCTGTGCGATTTGGAGCCAACCGTGTCACGACTGTATCGCCTGGCATGGCTTTCGCTAGTGTATAATCTTTAGTGCAGGGGCAGCATGTGAAGGCACCATGGATTGGTCAGGCACGGATGTTGAATTCTTGAATTTTCTTGTCGCCGGGGTTGCAATGGCACAAATTTTTGACATAGGCTTAGTTTCAAAGTAATTAAAGGAACAATGTACTTCCTCCGTCCCATATTAAATGTCCTATATGACTTTGGCGCATGACTTCTCCATTACGTATTTCTTCCTTTTCAATGAAAATTTGGCGAAACTTTTTCTGTGTTTTCGGAGTATGCGGTCAAAATTTCAAGTTAGTCCGTTAAGTATTGAGTATTTGGCAGTACTTTAGGACAAGGGTCCTCCGGCCAGAAAATCGCGAAGGCAAACAACCAGTTTCGGATCTCCGAACTTGACGAAGATACACTGTGGCTTCCGTGGGATGCACTTTGTGCGTCTACGGCACTAAAACCCTGCATCGGCCACCGCCATGGCAGCGCGTGGCGGCCGTGCTGCATGTATTTGGCGTAGCTCACTGGCGCTGATGTCGGCTTTTCTGCCACGTGTGGCAGCATGCCCCGGTGGTCTTTTCAGTGAAGTAGTATACTATGCATTGTACTATACTATATATTCAACCCTTCCGCATGGAAGAATTTTACCGTTGCGCTCTTTGCATCGCATTTTTTTTCAGAGCGTTCCTTTCAACGCTCTTACATGGCTTCGCGCAAATTTTTTTGGAAGAGAAGTTTTTGCATTATTGTTTTTGCCCAAAAAAAGGGCGCAGCGGTGTAAGTCGCCATGGGTAAGGATTCGAAAACCAACAGTGTGCGCACATATCAAATGCAAAGAATGTTGGCTGCTGCCTTTCTGCATTGTGTGCTGCACAGACCTATGGAATGTCCCTGGGAAGTCCTTTTCAATCTTTCACTCTTTTCTATGTTATTTGCGCCTTAGTCAGTTGCACCTTTACTTAATCGT